ATTGATAAATTACCTTTTTGGTATCAATTTGTTCAAAACTGTATATTTAGTCACCAAATCTCTTTCGTTTTTTCCAAAACTATATATTTAATCATCTAATTCATTGTTTCAAAACTACATATTTAATCATCTAATTCTTTGTTCCAAAATACATATTTAACCATTCATCCAAAATACATATTTAACCAACAAACATATTAATCCAAAATACATATTTAACCACCAAATTGTTCTTCCAAAAAACCACACATCTAGCCACCAATTTTTTTCATCATTCAAAACCCAATTCACATAAGCTTCCCTATCCTACTTCTTGCAAGTCTCAGACATGTTCACCTTTTCAGGATTGTCTCTTATCATTGAAATTACTTTAAACTTCTCCGGTCGGGCCAATGACTGCATTTTTGCGATCTTAGAAGTGATCACCGAACGTTTTTTATCAAGTTCTTCTTCTCGTTCGATACCTTTGTTAAGTTTGTTCACCATTTTCTCTAGATTTTCTCCAAATTTAGTAACCACATTATTGAATATGTCATCCATGGGATATACTCGACGTTTTCTCTTCTTACCACGCCTACTTGAAGTTTCTTCAAATTGCATATTTGCATTGCCACATTGAACGTGCCATCACGTCATCAGATTCGTCATTCATGTATTGTGTTTGATCTTCTATATGCACCTCCTCTTCCGCCTCAACAAAATCTCTTGCTCTATTTCTTTGAGCCCGATCTTTTCCAAATACAATAAAAAGATCATCATAAAAAGGATACGCTTTGTTCTTCCATTTTCTCGCCCCTTTATGGACCTATTTCATAATAGAATAACATAAATATACATATAATCATAATTATAATTATATATTATGCAAATATAAATAACAAGTTTTTTTTAGCATTGATGATACGACTCCCAAACTTGGTTTTCAGCAACCACACAATGCTTTACACTATCGTATCTGAAACCGCTAGTATATAAACCACTTATCATGTCATGCACAACAATCCAATCTTTCTTCATTATTTTTTAATTTGATTTAATGTGTGGTTCCCTAAAATATCGGAGCCCGTCAAAGATTCTTTTAACGCTTGTTCAAGATATGTTAAATAACCCGATTTAAAGTCATTATCGGCTTTAAATGCTCCCGTCTTCACCATGGTAACTAAAGCTTCAACAAGTTTTGTTTCTTCAATATTCGTTCATACTTGATAACTTCTAATTTGACTCGTCATACCTACAAACATAAATGAATCATTTGAAGTACAACAACATTTAATTATCCATGTCTAAACACCATAATTTCTATTATAAACAAACATTAGATTTAAACAAACATCAGTATGAGTTAAGCAACCATTTGAATCATGCATATTAATTGGTAGCATTCCAAGAAGCAAACATAGAATTGTGCTAAATTATGCAGTCCACTCATTTGAAGTACCAACAACCATTTATATTATTCCCGTCTTCGACTCCAAGGTCTCCGGTTCCCTCATCCACTTCACCTTCATTGTCAAGTAGATCTTCACTGTCAAGTGGATCTACTGGCATTTCTTACATTATAAAATTATGGAGAAGACAATATGCCATGATGATCCTAACCTTTAAATCAATAGGATAATATGAGTTATCTCTTAAGATTTCCCACCTTGCCTTTAACATACCGAAACATCGTTCAATAACATTTCTCACCGATAAATACTTCATATTGAAAAATTCTTTGGTAGTGGTTGGTTGGTGTCCATCACACTAATCATTTAAATGATATCTTTGACCCCTATAAGGAGCTAAGAAACCCTCTTCATTTGTGTATCCGACATCAACTAAGTAATAACCTAATAATAAATTAAGTTAATAAACCATCAAAACTTATACTTGTTAATATATAGTAAATTATCAAAAACTATACCCGGTCTTAGAACTTTTAATCCATGAAGCCTAAGAAGAGCATCTCGAAGCACTCGACCATCAGCAGCCGACCCCTCCCATCCCGGTAACACATATATAAATTGCATATCTTGTGAGCACACCACTAGCACGTTTGTTGTAATATCATTATTTCTTGTTCTATATCTAGGTTTGTTTTCTTGTAGAACTAAACATTTTATGTAGGTTCCATCTAAAGCTCCTAGACAATTATAGAACCAAGAAAAATATTTTCATAATAATTAGACTTATTTACAAATAAGTAAATTTTAAAAGAAGTGGAAATACCTTAAACCATTTCCATCTTTGATCAGTAGAGTTATCAGGAACAGCTTCGGGTTTCTTAAGCAATCGTAGATGTAACCTTATTACGACATTGCAAACTCGAGCAACAACTCAACTAATTGTTTCTCTTGAACGATGAAAACGACATATCTAACCCGATTCTTAACATTATGAGCAATAATATGAAGAAACATGGCAACTTGTTCTTCAATATTCATAAACCTAGTTGTTCTTAACCCTCCGTATGTTTCAACCATGTCACACAACTTTTTGAAACACGTTTGAGTCATTCTAATTTGCGATATAGACATAGTGTCAATCTCATAGCTATACCTATGCATTATTGAGGATCGATCGACATTTGAAGAAGAGTATCCAGTTTGTTGTTTATTCCTTTGTCTTTTAACCATAATCATCCAAAGCGACACAACAAATAATACAACAACATGGACAACTATGTTAAATCTTTTCAACAACTCTTGTCTCCTCTGCCTATGTAAACGTCTTGTTAAACTAAGTCGGTCCATTTCCTGTCCAATTACTCAAATTGTTTTAGTGGTGTGTTGGAGCAAACATGACTTCCGTTTTAGCGGTGGGTTGGAGATCCTCTAAGAGACACAATGTGGGGTGTATTTTGGGAATGGCTTTAATAAAAAGTTAAACATAGTTCTTTAGTACCGTAATAATCGAGCATATGATTGATATAGGAGTGCATATTAAGCATATAAACTCAAATTTTTGCATTTCAAAATCAAAGCAACCATCCTACGCTAGGTGAAGGATGGTGAAGAATAGTGAAGTAATTGATGGCCAAGATGGTAATTTTAGCCTTTTAAATTAGATCTTTTTTAGTTGAGCAAGAGGTGGGATGATTTTATTCAAATACAAGACATGTCTCGGTTACCACAGATAAGGTCATTCAAGAAGTAGACCCCCAGTCTGTATTGATGACCAATGTTATGCCAATGGTGACTAAGGTGCTGTTTACCAAACACTTACTCGGGTTAGTGTTTACGGACAATATTCAACACTATCACTTACTTACCAAGTAAGATTTTAGTCTACCAAAACAAAATCGTATGCAACAATTTACCCGGTAAGCGCTAACCGTGGTAAGAGTCATCGCCATCACTTACCGGATAAGATTCTTGGTCCTTCCATATTCATCCGGTAAGGTAATGTGACTTGATAAGCACTTACCTGGATAAGAGTTTGGTAAACGGCCCCTAAGTCATGGAAAAGCAGTGGTTTATGAAGCTACTAGAAGACAAGGATGCCAAAAATACAAGGCACGGGACTGGTGCAGAGAACGTTGTGGGTGGCTTCGGGGGTGCCGGAAATGCTAATGACACCAAAGAGCAAGTGGTTGGTGGTGCGAGACGAGTAGATCTTTTTTTTTCTCCGTACAAGACCTTCCTATGCAGCAAACCGTCCAAGTTCTTGGGAACTATCGATCTAGTCATGTGCATAAATTGGATCCAAGAAGTCAAACAAGCTTTTTCATTCTAGTGACTATGATGATCCATGAATTGAAAATATTTCTCAACTATTTTTGTCTTTTCGAGATATTTTGAAAACAATATCAAATAATAAGAAAGATATTGTTGAAGCGTAACTTCATCTCACTTAGGAAGTTGCATACATGAAAGAGATTGCCATCTGAAGTCCCATATTTCAAACTGACATCATACACAACTTATGTCAGTCACTTTGGGCTTGAGGTTTGTACCGGTTAGTCGCACATCGATTTAACATAAATTTTAGGACATTTAATATACACACCATGTCACTCTATACATACATATATTGCACTTGGTATTTTTTCTAAAATCTTGTAAAATATTGGGAGTATATTGTACTTGTTGATGGACCCCTTCGTATGTGGTTTCCTTGTGTTTTGGGGTTTCCAAGTAAATCTACGTGTCTCCCTACTATTTGATGTTATCTGCTTATTTGATTGATTGTGTTGGTATATCTCTATATACCCAACGTTTTCATAATTAGCGTAATCCCATTTTAGTGTTGTATTTGTTTCAACATTTTTTATGATCGAATTTTGTTTTCGTATTGGTGAAGTTTGTGGACAAAGCTATTGCTACGTCAAGATCACCTGGTATATTAGTTGGAGTTCCGTTACTAAGACACTGTTTCCCAAACTAGCTGGCAAGTAAGTTATTGGCTAATAAACTAGATGATAAACAAGTCATGTTTGATAAAAAAAACAATAGATAGGAAGCTACATAACAATATATCATGATCAAATAATAAGCCATTTACGTAAAATATAAGGGGTTAATCAGGGGCGGTCATAGAATATATGGGGTATAATCATGGGTGAACCTATGAACGCCCCCGTGGTCTTGTGCACTCAATTGACTTTCGTAAGTGAAATATTTTTTGGGCTATGAAAGACGCACCCACTATACTTTAAGGGGTACTCCAGGATATTAAAACGTCCAAGAAACACCAACCAAAAAACCGAGGGCCTTTCGAAATCAACCAAAAAACTAAAAAAATCATTAAAAACAACCAAAAACTTTAAAAGATCTCTGGAAACACTGAAACTATGCAAAAACGCATCAAATGACTTTGCAACCGTTAATCCAACTTAAAAATATATTCACTCAACAAAAATCTTAGATCCTACGTAGAATAAAAAAAAAAGCGGAAAATATATCACATAAAGTTATCTGAAATACCTTTTAAAAAATTTAAAAATCTAACTTATGACTTACCAAACGATGTGAAACTGATAATTCTTAAATAAAAGTACATGAAAACGACTGAAAGTAAAAGACAAAAGTAGATTAAAAAAATCAACTCATTCAAAGATTTAGAAGCATTCTCAACAATCCCATACCCCAAATCCGAATAAAAAACACTTCAAAATGCTATGTTTTTCAATTTTGACAAGTAACGAACGTGCAACCAAACGAAACATCACGGCAATCTTGTCCATAAATGGATCAAGAACCATACCAGTATCATCTGCTAGCTATTATATGTGCATTATATCTAACCTTCTTTCTATTTACAATCTAACATTATTCATGCTTAATTACTTGCATAAAGAACCCTTCATTTTATTTGTGCTCACAATAATCAAGACTCGATAGGAAGCCCATTTTTATTCCACGCAGCATATCCGCCCGCTATGTCCATCACTCCCGTGAAACCCTGCACAAATGCACAAGAGGAGTTCAATAACCAGAGCTGAGGCACGTATACAAAGTCATCCGATCCGGTTATATCTGACTAAACCAATTAGAACCGACTGACAATAATTGGATCGGATTAGATCCAAATTTTCAACATTCAAATTGGATCACTCGATTTTTGGATGGAACTGAACCAAATCAATTCAATGACGGTTTTACGATATTGTTTTTCATTGATATTTGTGTATTGTTTTTCTAAGAAATTACAAAAATGAATGAATAAATGGTTGAAAATTGTATCAAGATATTGAATAAATCCACTTCGGTCTGATGGATAACCAATAGTAACATCCAATTGATGAAACTGATCCCATCAGATTGATTGTCCAATGATAATTGGATCAAATACAATGGCAAAATCTACATCCAATAAATAATTGGACAGCATCAAATCCACCTAAATCATTTAGATTTCAACCGATAAACAACAAGACTCCGACCATTTGGTATTCATGATTCGATTAAACGTTATGCACACTTACAGCAGAAAGAAGATCCATGGCAGCCATAAGCGACCTTTTACCCAATTGGCATCCCTGTTCATTACATACAGATTCATATAAGTGATTGAAAGATTGATTGCAATTGAGACCTCGAGCCGCAGGTTAGCGTTTATAACTTACAACGATAATTTCATCATCTTTTCCAAAGTGGGACAAGACTTCCTCCACAAAATCGGGGTTTTTCGTCATCCCTGTTTTATCATATATACCAACAAGAAATCGTTATAGAACCGAAAGTTGAGTTTCAGAAATACCATGAAGAAAAAGTCGAGCATAAGCCAAAAACTAGCTACCAATCAACCATGCAATACTGGTAACGTATCATTGCAGTTCCAGATCGGCTAGACACATACTCTTTTTATAATTAATTTTTATATAAATAATCATTTTATTTTATTTTTCATATGTGGGTCCTATTTGCATTCCGATAAGATTTACTGTGTTCGTTTGGTTTTCACCACACAACGACCATTACATTTACCTCAATTACCTTTTTTTTATTAGTCTAGATATCCAACCCGCTATGCGAGCCGACTAATCCTAGGTCGACCACCTGTTTTGCAGATAGCCCGAGTCACCGCATTTGAACCTCTACGGCTACAAAGGGATTTTTATTCCTCCTTGGATTTGAACCTAGAACCTCTAGGTACTTTTGACCTTTGAAGCCAAACTCAAACCAACCAGGCTCCACCCTTATCTTTCTCAATTACCTTCTTCCCCATTACTGTATTTCCAAATCCTTCATAAACTGGTTTTTCAATCAAGGGATTTAAGGTTTATTTAGAAAAAAGGAGAAAGAAACCTGATCCAAGTCTGAACATGTAAGGAATATTAATGGCCCCAACAGCATGTCCAGCAGAGAACTCTTCAGGTGTTCTACAGTACACAAAACATTATTAACAATTTATACCCCTAAACAATTACATAATGAATTCTAGACCCCTCCAACTTTCAGTTACCTCACATCCAAATAACGGTGACCGGCTTGATGAAGCTCATGTGCCACTCGAACCGGCACCGACGTAGGTGTCACCGGCGTGGCGGGCTTCACATTCTCTCCCACCGTAGCCATCCAACTGTTTCACAATTATCCATCAATAATCGGGTTTCTGAATTCTAATCTGATATCAGTTCAATTAGGTTTTTCAACAAGGAATTTGGTAATCTGTAATGGAATTAGATTTGGATTTTATGTCAAATTTGTAATTTAGTCAATATCGATTTGGAACTTGAACTTGAATTTGAAATTGAAACGAAGATGTTTTTGATCCAGAAAAACCCTAAAATTCTCGCCTCACCTGAAATTCAACTTTCTCTTGCCAATGCCATTGCCATTGCCATTTCTACGGCTGCGTTGATTCGATAACTGAGCCTTCGTCGTCGAAATCGACGAACGCAGTTCGAGTCTGGAACACCCAATTACAAACACGATTATTTCATCAAATCATTCATTTACTATCGAATTCAATGTGTTGAAATTACATTAAAAGTAAAATAAAACCTTCGATCGGCGACGCATTTCGAGGGAGACAAACGAGGAACTGAAGAGATCAGAGAAGAAACAGCAATCTGTGTAGCCATCGTCATAATACCCTTAAAATCAAAATCTAGGGTTTTTGTGTAGATCGATGATGTTGGTGTTTGATGAAGAAGATGTATGGGTTTTTGTATGGTTTGTAATGGTGGAGTATGGGCAGTTGTATGGTGATGTAAGATTTGTAAATTGTATATATAGAGAGGAATGATGGGACGCCATGAATGCGAATTATGAGGTTGGTGTGGATGATTCAGAAGTTTTGGATAATTTGCGTGAGTCATCGTGATGATCGCACAAGATAAGTTCAAAAAACGACCATTTCCCACTTCTGCTCCTTGACACGTGTCTTCTAACAAAATTGGAATGCTCCTCTATCCGTTTACTCCTTTTGTTAAATTTTTTAGAATCACATAAACTAATTTATTAAAATGCTATTTAAAACACACTTGCTTTTTTTCAATTACATCACTTATTGATTTATTATTTATTATTATTGAAATATTACTCATTTAATATAACGAGATATATTTTGATTTTATTATTTTATTTTATTTTTTCATCACAATCGATATTATAATATAGTTTTTATGTGATATTGAGAAAATGATAATATTTTTTATTTTTGAACAAAATATAAATACAAAGATATTATAAAATATTTAAAAAAATACCAAACTAACTATTTAATTTTTTTTATGTATTTTTGTAATGTATTTTTTTTTATTTTTGGTTTAATAATATATTTTTATAAGAATAATAATTAATTATTTTATTAGAACTCGATAATTATCTTAATTATATTTTAGATTTTTTATATTTTAAAATAAGATGTTTATTTTTTATTTGATTAAGTTTATACACAGTTAGTTATACGATTTCAAACATCTATCTTTAACAAGTTGTACTTATACATAATTACTTGTAATCTTGAATTTTAAGTAATATACATTAATACACAATATTTCATGCATAAAAAATAGTTTTTAAAAGTTTTTGTCAAATGCTTTATAATATACTATAGATTATTAATAAATAAAACAATAGATTTTCTATAAATATAATAATTAATTTAAAATTCTTTTAATCAATATTTATATTATTTATTTTTTTTATCATTTTTTAGTATTTTTTTAACCTATGATCATCTATTTTACGAATATTCATGACGAAAGATCTGTCACGAGAATTATTATGAATATCTTTATCATATTATACATCGTAAATATTTACAAAAAGATAATGAATTTATTCAATATAAATATTTGTTACAACATTTATGATGAATATTTTATCATATTATCCGTCATAAATACTTACAAAACGACGATTCCTAAGTATCAAACTCCTACATAAACCATCTTTAAATTTCGAAGGGAAATCTTTGTCACCTTATATTGAAATATGCTTAACGTGTCCCCTGTTACAAAATTATGTTCGATTTTTTTTAAATACTCCTTACATCACCTGACAATAAAAAACAAGCTGATGCATTTAAAAAACAATGGTGAAATTTCGGCAAAATAGTACGGCTAAACCACCTTCGGTAGTTTGTCGTTGCCTAGATATTTATCAGAGGTATGACTTAAAAGATGCGACATTCCAATAGAACGCTATCGAGCATCAACCACCTCTCGTGTTCATGAATCAAAATTTCTATATAAAACCAAATCGAACATGAATTATTTACACGTGATCGGCGATCCCATTTTTCTAGTCCAAGTTTCTATTTTGTCTTCTTAGTTTCAATTTAGTCTTGTTACACTCGTTATCAAGACAACAAAGATCAAGAGAGTGTAAGCATTGTTCGAATCTGATTATATGCCAGGAGAAGAACGTATAAACATCGATAATTTTTTCTGAACGAAGTCATGGGATTCTTGTTCCATTTAATTTTTAAAAGTATATAATATTTATATATGACAAATTAAACTCAAACACATTTCACATCTTTCGTGAAATTTAAACCTTTGACCTTCAATTAAGTGGGGTTGCCAAGGACTGCTGGGACCAAGGATCCTTACAAAGAGAGAAAACGAAAAAGACGAGAGAGGGGAGAGGGAAAGACTAAGGGGTCGTTTGTTAAACGCTTACTTCGTAAGTGTTTACTGGATAAATTTCCTCATTGGATAAATATGACAAGGGCCAAGAATCTTACCGGGTAAGAGTAATGAAAAGATGAAGAGTCTTACTCCGTAAGTGAAGATAACGACTCTTACCCAGGTAAGTGCTTACCCGGTAAATTGTTGCTTTCGATACGTTTTGATGTACTAAAATCTTACGTATCAAAGTAAATTATAGTGTTGACTTATATAGATAAGCACTTACTGGATAAGCATTTGGGTAAACATCCCTTAAGCCCGTCCACTTTAAAATACAAAACTCTTCCACCCACACACTAAAACACAAAACTTTAAAATCCACTGCAGGTATCTTTTAGAGACCATGAACAATAGACCTCTAAATATAGAGATCTCCTTCAATTTACACAAAAAGTTTAGCGTTTTAATGGTGGGTTGGAGCAAACATGACTTTTATTTTAGTATTTTAATGGTTAGGTTGGAGATACTGTAAGAGACACGATATGAGGGGTATTTTGGGAATGGTTTGAAGAAAGAGAAACATATTTTTCTAATATCGTAATAATAGAGCATATGATTGATATATGAGTGCCCATTAAGCATATAAACTCAAATTTTTGCATTTCAACATCAAGGGTCTCTTGAAAACAAAGCAACCATCCTATGGTAGGTGAAGGATAATGAAGTAATAGATGGCCAAGATGGTAATTTTAACCTATGAAAATTATATTTTTTGTTTTATAATTCTTTTAATTTAGAATTGTAATAGGTTATGATAACTGGATGTCAATAGACTTAAAATCATATGCGACCAGACTGTTTTCATGAGAACTATGAAACTACATAAACAATATTGAATCTTCAAAGTAAAGCACCATGATGGTGGTAAACCTTCACCACATTTTTGTTGTCAAGGTTCGGTGTTTTTTCATACCTTCATGATATTTTGATGTAAAATTTCAATGTTATTTTATAATCTTACGGATCTCATAAAAACAGATTGGTCTCACATTAACCCAACCGGTGTCAATATATTCAAATATCAAAATTGTTAATATATGTATCTGAATATTCCTAATTAATGATATTATTATAATTTGAATTTTATTATTAAATTATTTTGATAAAACTTGTTAATTCTTTTGAAATTAAGTGTTATCTACCAACGTATAACCCACAAGTACATAAAACAAGATTTCATGTAGTTCATTGCAAGTTTTTTATTTATTTTTTATTAACCTGAATATACAACCTGCTATGCGAGCCGACTAATCGCAGGGCGACTACCTGCTTTGCAGATAGCCCGGAGTCACCGCATTTGAACCTCTGTGGCCACAAGGGAATTTTTATTCCTCCTTGGATTTGAACCTGAGACCTTCTGGTACTTTTGACCTTTGGAGCCAAGCTTAAACCAATCAGGCACCACCCTTGTGGTTTCATTGCAAGTTTTTCATGTTTAAAGTAACACAATTAGCCTACATTTGCACACAATCGCACAAACATATAAATCAATCTTAAACAATTTGTATCCAATTTCGAAACTCACAAACTCATTGGTTAGCGTGACCAGTTCAAAGTCTTACCTACACAAGCTATAACGTGTTTTTTTTTATTTGTCATTATCGGTAATCAATGGATCCACAAACTCGTAACCAATAATTCAAAACCTAGGCCGAACCGGTGAACCCCTAGGTCGGCCAAATTCTAGAACCTATATTTCCATTCATCTCATATTATTATATATACGTTGTTTTGACATGTATGGTTATATAGATATACAGGGAAATGTTCATTTGAGAAATGATAAATATTTAAGAAGTAAATAAGTGATTCTAACCCTTCATCTGATCAACATTTGCGGCTTTAATTGTGAATCATCGGATAATTCCTCGCATAAATATGTAGAAGATAGAGGGGTATTTTTGTAACTTTTATAAATAGGCGGCAAACGGTTTCATATGTGAACCCATGTGATTCACATATGAAGTATATGTTCATATGTGAACCCGTTAATTAGCTCACATGTGAACTATTTAACTGATTCACATATGAACCCACAGATTTACATGTAAATCAATTAATTAGTTCATATGTGAATCAGTTAAAATAGTTCATATGTGAATTACACATGTTTACATATAAAATATAGTTCATATGTGAATTAAACGGATTTACATATAAATATATAATTCATATGTGAATCACACAGGTTCACATATGCATCCGTTTGCCGCCTATTTGTAAAATTTACGAAACTAACCCCTCTATTTTTCGTATAGCCGTAAATTTTGAACATTCAAAGCCACAATTCTTGAACAATCAAACATGATTTTGACCGTATAAAGGGTTAAGATCACTTCGTTACTCCTCAAAATAACCTGACTAGATTTACATTTATACATGTATACATATTTTCTCAGAAAGTTTTAATATAACTTAAATGCTTATTTTATTTCAAAAATATTAACTAAATATGTTTCACATACATACTCGTTTGTAAAAATTTCGAACCAGATAGTAATCATAATCTCTAGTTCAAAACAATATTTTAAATATCAGTTTTATGATATTAGGGACTCATTGAAGCTTTTAAAATATTCAACATCAATTATCGAAATAAGATACTTCAGAGTTATTTTAGAGATATCTGAAATTAAATTAAAATATTCAAAGCCACCCATTGTTTATTATCCTAATAGGCATTGTGGAAAAATTTACTAGAACCCAAGTTAACTAAAAATTATAAAACTTGTGTTTTAAAAGAGCTGTTTATCAAATGCTTACCTGATAAGTGTTTACCGGGCTCATGTATAAAAACCAAGAATTTTACCTGGTAAGAGGCATAGCAAGATCATGAATCTTACCTGCTAAGTGAGGGAAGAAGACTTTTACCCATCAAGTGCTTAGGAGGTAAAAGAGACTTACCACCAATTCATTTATGATGACTGAGAATGTTACCTGATGAGGTAAGTGATGGTGCTGACTCTTCCTTGTAAGCACTTGCCTGGTAAGTGTTTGGTAAATGACTACTTAGTTAGACTGAGGAACCAAGTCGTCACAAACGTGCAAACGACAAGTCCAATTCCGTAATACTGAAGTTTAGAGAT